TGACGATTTAATGTATAGAATATCTTCGTATACGATGCAATAGAGATAATCAAACCTATTGGTGTAAATATACGACTGCACCAAAAAACTATTCGGTAATCGATAACGTACGATCCTGCTGCGATAGAGGACACAATCCAAAAGATCGCTAGAATGAGATATATTCGCTTCAAAGTCACAGTTTCTTTGTATCTAAGCCCCAGTAAGAGGGCAATGACTCTGTCAACGGCTATTGCAGTGAGAGTCAACAGAGAAATTGAAGTAAGTCCGTAGCCAGTTACATAAACTGTCACAAGTAGGTATCGACAGAGAGCCCAGTGTTCATTATATACGGACATCAAGTAGGCAGCTTGGAGAGGTTCTACAATCAGACCAACGCAGAGATCAGTTGTTGCGAGACAACGATACAAGAGTTTGGACGGTGGATGAAGGGAAGAGTCCTTCCGAAGAGCAACTAGGATCAGAACATTACCTATAACTGCAGTAATGGAAAGAAAAATATTGATTGCTGAGAGGTATAGCATGTATTCCTGATTTCCATTTCTCAATGTGCTGGAGCAAAGCAGTTCCTCAAATGATTCCTTCTGTCTTACATGAACCGTTAAGTTCAGTCCCGCCATGTTCTCTGTTTCGGTAAGTTTAAGACTTCTTCTCACCCGAGGGTTTCTTTTATTGGTAAATTTATGTCTACGACTGCGTCATTACTTTATTTTTTCCAAAAATTAAACAAATGGATAAAGTGGGTGTACAATCGGTCGTCATTGCGTCTAATTATGAAGATGTATTAAGACTTTTAAATGGAAGTACGCTAAAAATAGGATGCACATCTGGGGCTGTCATTCTAAGATCCTGGCTATATATCTCCTTAATAATGACACTGGCTATAGCTATAGCGCCTTCTGATAAAGTCGGTAATAGTTCGTAATTGAGAACTGTTCAGAAGCAACGCGAGGCGGAAAGAAGCTTTTAGCACGTTTCATTTGCTAGTTCGTTAAATACTCTTAATTGACATCAGCGGTCATAATTGCATGGAAATGTTCCTAAAGTTATTAACACTGACGACTAATTTCTGTTCTCAAAGACAGCCAATAATCCCCCACAACAATTTATCTTGCCAGTCACGGGATTTTGAAAATTGAAGGTTTTTAATTTTTCTTCCTTTCGCTCCCATGCTATTAAATTGGGTTTAAGGGCATTTCATTCTTGGAATATGCTAAATGACCTTGACATTGAATAAGGAATGCTTTGCTGTAAATCAGCGCTAAGAATCAACAACAAAAACACAAAAAGCACAAAAACACCTGTGCCTTTTTATACATTGATTTACAAAGTCCTTGTTGCCCATTGAAGAGACACATGAATGAATATTACGCCACTTATAATCAGCGACTTATTTAAATACTTCCTGATCACTGGAAAAGTTCCGGGGTACATATGAACAGATATTACTTAAAAGCTGCATGATATTTTAAAGAAAGAAAATTAGCATGTTCACTTTATAAAGGACACGTCAAGAGCACTATGAAGAATTTTAGAGTGAAATATGGAAAAAAAAACTGTGCATCAAAACAGTGCCCGTTAAGTAGCATTGTCACACTTTATCCTTGTGATGGACATGGCATTTTAAGTAACATTTTCCCGACTGTCCGTATTTCATTTCTTTTCTTTTTTTCTTTTTTTTTTTTTTTTTGAAAAATTGTACCAGAGTACAGCTACTCTATTAAATAGATTCGATGATTTCCTGTGCACTTAGCCTATTTTTTATGATCACTTTAAAGTAGAAGATATCTAGAAAATTGTCAAATTGGTAGGGACGTAGTCTATAAAACATCGCTGAAGAGCGTTTAAATGTCAATTGTGATGGAAGACTTGGGAATTCTAGTGTCCATTTGTCGGCGAGATAAAGTTTCGCCATGAGCAGAAACTGATGAAAAAAATGTTAGTTACTGTGTGTCAAGTGTGTTAATTTGGTAACATATCAATATCCATTTTTCCTAGCTGAACTATGTAGGCATAAATTACCGCATTGGACGTAAGCGGCAAACATACGCACGTGCACATGAAGAAACCACAATAAGCACGCTACTAATGATCAAATGATATTAAGTGCTTTCGGTGTTGTTAGTTACCCGCGGTTTTCAGCTTGTAGCTGCTCGCTGTAAGTTTAAGTATTACGGAAGCCTATTTAATCTTAACTAGTTGCTTTGTCACTGGTTAAAAAAATGGCTTTCTGGGTGATACGATTCAATGTCACCATCGAAAATCTAACATGGGATCTTTGCCGCAGCGTGAGATCTGCCTGCCTTGATTTAAAAGAATTATAATCGGTGGCAGTGCTTGTCGCTGTGGAAACTGTGTTGTTTGCCCGGTAGCCACACGTGAATGGTGTATTACGTAATGAGCAAAAAGGAGTTATTTGTTGTTTTCTAGGTGACTAACTCTTTGATGCTTTTTAGAAACCTGCCAGTCATTAATGGACTTAAAAGCCCCGTACCCTCTTTTTTACGACTAACATGCAGGTGGCGGTAAGTCTTGTTTATTCAGCAGTTCGCCGGCCGAAAATCCTTTTAGATGCGTAGTGCACCCGCTATTGGTTGTTCTATGTTTCGTGATCTGACGTTAGTGTATTCACTAAGATGTACAATAAAGTTTTGTTTTCCTAGATTTTTAAGTTGATATAGATAAAAATTGAACCTGTCTTTTACTGTCTTCTTTTAATTTTCATTTTAAAAGGTTATATTCAATATTTCAAGTGAGTATATATGCCTCTTTTTATAACGACCCGTCTGCTTTTAAAGTTATTTTTATCTGCACTAAGCCTTATGAGTTACATGTTTTTTCATTGCAATCATCACGAGAGAAATTGTGTCGTGTTGTTTCCTCACTTGCCAATGTCTTTGTTTCCAAGGCATTTGTTTCGTTGCGCTAAGGTCTAATAACAAATTTCGTATAATTATCACCACGAGACGAGTTAAGGTCCTATTGCCTTACTAATAAACCTTTTCCCGCTTCTAAAACGGTTTTAAAATATTTTTTGCCTTAAATGGACTGATGAGACGTTCAATGCGCATTTCTTCAATTACATCGTTTTCCCTGCTTCAAAACTGATTTATCTACGCACGCCGCGGCTTCAACCACAATTTTGCAATATTACGTACAAGATAGACGCTGTGAGCATTTTGCCTTACTAGTTAAGATTTCTCATGGCCTACTTTTTAAACAGGTTTTTCTGCACACGGGTATTTATCAATGATACCTTTGAATTTAAGCAACACGACCACAGCTGTAAGAATAAATGCCTCGCTTGGAAAAAAGTGCATTATTTGCGAGGGTTCAGTAATAATTTTGTATTACTATGATATGAACAGCGTAGATATGAGGATATCTCCTTTTTTAACGATTTCTGTGTTTTTCTAAAAACACTTTTAGATACTCAAGGACTCGATGAAGACTTTGAGACTCTCTTAATTTCGGAGAGGCTGCGGATAAATTGCCTCACTTCTTAATTTCAACCTGCGTCTTAACTGAGTAGTTTCTAAGCCTGACTAGAGTTTTAGGAGAACTTTTGAATTATTCTCAATAAAAGAAAAACATTGAGGGCATATCGCTTCAATTATTAACTCCTGTCACAGTTTTTACGCTAGAGGAGAAGGATATTCACGATGCTGTGTATGAACCTGAAACAAGCCGGATATGAAATTTTCTTGCATGCCCTCGGTCACTGAAGACTTAATTGTAAAATTTAGACGGGTGCGCTATTCGACGTTTGGCAAATAAAGACAAAAGCTTCCTTTCTGGGATCCATATTTTCAGGAGAAAACAATCCCGTCTTCCAATTCAAGCTTTATTTTTCAAGTTCTTGAGCTTGCGAGAGACTGACGCTAGTAGTTGTCCCATCTGAACTTAGCCACCACGGCGCTCAAGAAATGATTCAGCTCGAGTCAGTTTACACGAGAGCGAACTGATCGCTCAACAAATTTTATCCTTCACCATATTTGGCAAACTTGCACTGTAAATCCAGTTAAGGCAGTCTCGGCGTATGCTTGTTTTTACATAAATAAGGATACTTTCAAGTATGATAAGTATTTTCATCGAAAAAGTCAAAAAGGAGAAGTAAACAGAAAAAAATGATCAGGAAAATATTGTTGATTCTTAAGGTCTAAAAAACTTTCTGTATTCCTTTAATTAACGTACGAGACGACCACCCACGACGAGTGTTAGAGCGTGCATTAACATTAATAACACGCGTAGACACTTCTTCCCACTATACTAAAAATTACTGCGATGAATCGATTCTATTTCTAAAGCTTATTAATTTTTTTTTTTTTTTTTTTCATGAGTGTTTCATCTTTGTACCTGTGTTGGAGCCAGGAATCTGGACTCGTTATACTTAAACCAACCCCAGACTCTTTGCGAGCAAACATACACATCATGTACGTATTATAAAATATCTCTCAAGGGCGACGATAGGTGAAGGCTTTAGTACCGGTTTGGAATCTACCCACTCATTTTTGAAGGACAATCGATTCCTCAAGATAAAAATATCAGTGAATTATTATTCAAATATAGCTTTATTCCGGCAAGAATTGGAATCAGTGGTAAGATTTGCAGGATGTTTTAAATAGCACACTAGGCAAGTCGCCCAAGGGATGGCTAGGGGCCACCCTGGCTTTTCAAACATGGTCTTTAGACTTCATAATCACACTATAACTTCAAATGTACTCTAAAAGTAAATGTACTGCTCGCTATATTTCCTTGTCAGCAACTCGTTTAATGATAAAATGAAGAGAAAAAAAATCTGAAGACATGTTTTCTCTCAGTAAGTACGAAGAATTTTTTTTCTTCCAACACCTAGTAGAAACATAATGAACCAGAGACGATGTAGTTGAAACGAAACGCAATGTGATTGCAGAGGGTTAAATTGGTCACTGTCGCAATATCCGCCACCAAATCGAGCACAAATAACTAAAATCTAAATAATTTCAATTCAATTGCATCTTTTCAGCAACAAAGATGAGTGAGAACAGCAAAATCAAGACATGCTAGCTCTGCTGTCTAACTTTAAAGCGAACTATTTACTCTTTGACCCATAAGAGTGACTAGTATGTTGTTTATCTTCACAGTATCATCCCCAAGCCACACATGAAGGTTATATGAATAAAGGGAATGATCACCAACTAAAGAAGCTCTTGATTGTTAAACAAATTCTTCAAGTCAGTACCATGCCTGGGAAATGTATAGAGAACTGTATGGAGAATATGCATACTGATATTAGGGTGTAAAGGGTTATTGGATAAACTTGGCAGATGCCTTAATCAATTTCATCTGATGACCTTTCCGCAATAGACTCCAGAACGTTTAATGATGGGCACATTTTTATTGATCCTTTTCATAGTCTCAGAGAAACGTCAGTAGCCATGATGCTTGCTTAGAAGAAAAGCAAACTCTTTAAAAAGCATCCTCTGAAAAATTACACTAAAAACTTTACTTATGATTTGTGGAACAAAAAAATTTCTGTTTTTTCTGGTCTTGGATGTATACTTCGTGCACAAACTTAGTGATCAGTGAAGATGACATGAAATGATTTGCAATCTTGATTGTTTATATCCCTAAAATTTGTGAAAATGAGTGCTTTTTTATTAATCGACATTGATAAAACTGCACATGCAACAAAGCGCTTGGCGAATTATCTCTTTTACTACTTGTCTCACTTCAGCAATCTTCCAGCAATAAAGAAATGGGTTAAGTGATGAGTTAAAATACACTAATGAAACTGATGCTGCCCAAGCCAGAAAATACGATGAAGACATTGTTATGTTACTTCGTAAGGCCATCACAACAAGATATGGAAGATAACAGAGAACCATTGCAAGCTGAACCCACATTGCACTATCCACTGCTTTCCTGTATCGCACAATGTCAAGTGGGACTGTTAACTTTGGATGTTCTTGCTGCACACGTTCATGAACTTCAGTTTGACGGCGACGAAGCTTGAGGAAAATGTAAGTGTATGAGACGGCTGTGATCGTAAGACAAAATACTGTAGCAATACGGCCATACCAAATAGTGATAAGGTGGCTTGCGAGGAACAATAGCGCAACGACACAGGAAACTACCCAAAAGGTCGTTATAACTGCGTATGTTCGCTTTAATGTTACAAACTGTTTATACCTTAGCCCAAGTAAGAGAGCGAGAAGCCTGTCCACACTTATCGCAGTCAACGTTAACAAAGATACTAACGCCAACACGTAGCCTACCATAAAGGATGCACTTGCTGAGAACCGACAAACATCCCAGTCTTCATAAACCAGAGACATCCAAGAGGCAACATTGAGGGGTTCTGCAATTAGGCCAACACAAAGATCAGTTGTCGCCAAATTATGAAACAAAAGCTTCGACGGCGGATGTAGAGAAGATTCTCTCCGAAGAGCGACGAAGATCAGAGTATTCCCAAGAACTGCAGCAATGGATAGGAAAATATTGACCGCTGATAAAGACATCAGATGTTCATGAATACCGCTTGTAAAATCTGTTGAGCATCGCAGTTCTTCAAAGGACATATATATTTTCTATACTCAGTATGGTTTGTCATCGCAATTGGCCCTTGCAGAGAGGTTTCAGTGCATTCACTCGAGCCGAAGAATAAGGTTTTCCTCATAGAAATGCTTGGGATAATTGTGAGAAATGAGTCAAACTCGAGGGTGAGATTCTTATTCCTGTTTCCATTTGTCGTCACGTCCGGATGAAAAGAGCCAAGTTTCGGTTTTCTTAGTTTTGCATTAATCACATACCACATAATTGAATATCTTCTTTAGCTCTTAAGACCCTGAAGCGCATCATAACATTTGGATGCAATACTGCTATGTTATTTGTTTGAAAATTAAAAGGGAAAATAAAATGGTCGAAAGTAATCTACGATTCACTGAACATTTTTTCTGAACAGGAGAATTTCTTCAAAAATGCTGAAACGGATATCGAAAGTCACCCACGCTTCATTAGCAAACTAGAAACACGTCTATACATGCCTATCCTATACACATTTCCTATGCACGTATCCCATGCCAAAGATCATCTGTAGTAACAGCCTTGCATGGATCTATTTTCAATTCAGATGGATTTCATTCTGGGTGTCTAATTTAACGTAGACCGTGTGAAAAGTGGTGTTCCTTCATTTTAGCCTTGTTGACCTAATATCTAATAGAGATCATCTAATGGTTATAACTGATAATGACGGAAGCTCCACAGCCGTATCAAAGGAAATGATTTCAGTTCCAGACGTTTTCAATTCTTGTTTGTTCAGTACATGTCTCGATTCTATTGTACGAGTTTGACTTCAGTGATCGTTTCACTGAAATCCACCAAACTCTAAATTTTTTATCGAACACTGCAATATTCACCTCCTTTTGCGGTCGTGACATAAAAGGAAAACAAAACATGTGTCGAAATATGCTTAACTACGATAACGTCGGTCGGGAAACTGCTTGAGCTTTAGTTCGACTTAATAACTCAAACAATAGTTTACGTTGAGAGTCAGCTCCATTTAAGCAGAAGGAAATAAAAGAAAAAAAGAGGGGCTTCCTGTACTTCCTCTGTACTAGTGCAAATGCAAAATAGAAAGTAAAAAAAAATTCGAAAATTTCAAAACTATTCTTTGATTTTTCTATGCCACTCTTAGCGGAGAGTCCGAATAAAATGTGAGAGGGCTTACAGAGAGTTCAGAGAGCTTACGATCAGTGATTAAAAGAAACAATCTCCTGGCTTTGCAAACCCCGTAAAGATACGTCAAAAGCACCTTTGATTTTGTACATTTATATTTTGGAGAGCGGGTTTGTTTCTCGAGAGATTGTGATCGCCTTAAGCAGCTCTATTATCCTTGTGTTTGCTTTCAGTATATTGAGTGGCTTGCACTCCTCAAGATTTCATCAACAAAATGTATTTTTATCCAGTCATGGCGTCGTTCGATAAGAAATCAAGGAAAGGAACTAATTTTTAGTAATCCTTCCGGATGAAGCATAACTTTGTGACAAAATTTTTCAAAGGTTTGATTATTTGTATACATAACAGCAGTTCGTCAAATACTTTAGTTTCATTTTCATGTCTTGTAAAGTTCGTTGTTACTATTTCTTAGGGTCGATGCAACTGTTTGTCGAGTGGCAGATGTCGTATTAGATATTTCCCCACGACTCAAACTCCATCCTTCTTTATTCATCAGAATTCACAATGGAGAATAACAACTTAACACTTCTCGGCTTCGTGAATGTATTTAATCTTGCATATGAACTGCTTTATCAATATGAAATCGAATAATCCTACTGATTCATGGCATGACTCCGGCTTTATTGGACGATCGATTTTGTAGGATCGTGGGTGACATAGTTTGGTAAATGATGTTTGAGTAATGGCGAAATACGAGCTTCCCTTTCAGTCAGAAGTTGATTTGACTGCTACTAGTACACACCGTCACTTTGCAAAGGAAGATAACGTGATGCTTGAAAATAGACCATGAATTATATTATGCAGGAGCGTAACGCGCCAATAAGCACACACGCACGCAACTATCCCTGGAAATCTATATTCTCAGATAAGTTCAGGTGGTGTGAGCTGGCTATTTACTAATGTATAGTTATTGGCTAAAGGCGTCATCTATCTTGAGATCGACGGGTTTGGCGCACGTATTGTCGTTTCGTACTTCTCGTCATGAACTGAAGAATACAAATATCTGAAACGCTTTCCAGCTCAACACTCAAGTTGACAGCCTACTACATTAACGAAGCGAAATGGTGACCACAATCGACGTGTTCAGCGCAAGATTTTAAATGCCCCCACACATATTTTGGAATACATGACTCAGCTTTGCAATTGCCGACGCATTTTGTTTCGACCTGCGCTGCTGGACGAAGTTTTCAGTTCCTTAAAAGAATTGCCAATCCCTTTCGCACCATCATAGGTTAGGAACGATTGTTCGTTCTGGCAGAAAAATTTATGATGTGCACAACACGTGTGTAAAAAGAAATAAAATAATAAAAACAATAAGATTACTCGATTAAGGAATTTTTTCCTGACCCGTCCACAACTGTTGTCTTCAGAACGTGCAGTGAGGGATAAAGACACGACGGATGAACGCTGTCTTTTTGCACAACAAATCCCGAGCTTTCGTGATTCTTGCGGCATTGAATATGACCAAGCTTAAATGAAGAATTTTTCTGCGGAAGCGGAGGCATCACACTTTGTGTACAGGTTCTACTAGTATAAGGACCTCGCAAGGAAAAAAAAGCGGAGCTCAAGCTCGTAAAAAGGGCAGGCTTCCTTGCTCAACTTATGAAGGTTTAGTAGACAGGCAGTGAGAGTGTGGCAGTGATTTTGATTAGCTTTTGTTTGGAGCTGGTAGTGAAAGCAAATGTTAGTAGTGGTAGTACTTCTTGGTAGCATCAGAAATAAGAAGTAAAAGTAGCCTGATTGCAAGTTGTAATTCATCTTTTTATTTTTTACGACGTCTTGTTTAGTTGCATAACGTGTGTGTGTTTTGTGAATTTATTGAGGAAGTTTAAGGCCCCTTTAAATAAGGAGATGCTTTAGGGAGTTTATGTGATCTCAATATCTTCAACGTTTTTCGTACGGCACACATAAATTCTCTCTCCTTCATAAATATAAAATACACTTGACTAACGTACAATATTTACAAAACATTTACATTAAATAACTTTCGATACATAAATTTTCTTAAAATTCGCTTACTTCCTACTAGGTCTCATTTATAAAACTTCTCTCAGAGTATACCACATCTACTGAGCACTTTGAGTTCAATTGCTCCTATTCCTGGCTAGTGCGCAGGATCCGGTTGCGCCAAATCTTAGGATAGGTCAAGGCTTTGTTGTCTTGAAAACAACCTGATGGAAATTCGTCCCAAATCACGCCACATTCTCTGGCTTAGATATCCATGTGAATGTGAAATTTCCCTAACATTAAAAGGTCTTTAGTCTAGATAGATACACTGATGGAATGAAAGCGAAGGAAACACAAGGTTCTCTTAGTGATCCGTTGTGTTGCGTTACGCAATTCACTGAACCAGTCAGTGTGGCGTGATCTATGGCAGGTATTTCAAGGACGTCTGTTATCACTCAACAGCTGAAAGAAGGCAAAGTATCCCATTCGACGGAGCTTTGTTAACCTCTGGCTAGAGCTATCTCTTGTGACCTTGGACAATATGTGGAAATCTGGACATTACTGTTCCTGATGGCGAAAAACAGAGTTTGATCGCGACGAGATATGTATATATATATATATATATATATATAACTAACTGCAGACAGTACTGTTTCGGCCTTCTGGGCCTCATCAGTGCAGTGCTGATGCTAGGATGGAAGTAAGGCTATATAGCCACCCCAAGTGATCTCACATATGTGGTATCATCTAAGCCATGCCAGAGTGCTCAAACTAGAAAAACTAGTGAGCATGCATAATGCTAGCAGCAATGACTCATCCTAGTAGAGTGCTCAATTTGGACATATATATATTTATAATAAAGTTCGGATATAACGCGCGCTGTCATTGGTTGAAAGAGCGTGCTCTATGAGAGTATAGAGCATAGAACTGAGCTAAAGCTGTCACGCTATCTGCCAAATTGTACCATGTTCGACCTTTTCCGGGACTTCTTTTTGGCTTTTTTCCGATAATTGAAAGTGAAATTTCGGAACAAGCGAGCCGGCAAGTAGTAACAGAAGAACCAAAGAAAGGTTTGTAAACATACCAGGTGCCGTTATTTACGTTATTAAAACGTGGGCAGATACGAAAATCCTCAAAGGAAAAACAAAATAGACATTCCGAGTTTTAAAGATTTTCACGCTCAGTTAGATTGCAAGCTTACGTACGGTAATGAAAATCAAACACAGCTAACACTTGTATAGTATTAAAACGTCTCGACTACGACTACGTCTCGTGTTTCTCCCTACACTTCTTTCGTGCTCTAGCCGCTTCCTGCGTGCTTTATAACAGAACAGAGCACAGTCAAGGCTTCTCTATTTGTTAAATATATATATATGTAGGGGCACATGACGAAACCAGCAGCGTGGAGCTCTCCTTAAATTCTGGTATTTCTAAGAAAATTTTCAAATTGCAATTTTACTGAGGTTTCTCCCCCCTCCCCCTTCCCCCAGACCTCAAAAAGATCTTAACTTCTTAATCTTAACAGATTAAAACATTAATTCTCTTTCTCGTTCCCTTTTTTTCCTTTATATATGTATTCGGTCATATTTTCGTGCTGTAAGGACACACCCCAGTGATTTCGACATAAGCAACAGATCGCATGACTTACCCGAGTTGAAGACGATGATCTGTAAACAAACGTTGACTTATTGCCATGTCCCTGTTGGTTAAAGGAACGAAATAACTCCTCGTTCATATTCAAACAAAACAAAAAGGCCCAAGTTGAATAGTTTTAAAAGACACAGAACAAGAAAGTCAAGATGAAGAACCTTTTGATTTTGTGTCTGATTTGTGAGCCATGATGATTGCATGTTGATGGATGGTGTCTTCAGTCTTTCCGGCGTTTAAATCTACAAAGTAATTATCTTTTCGAATTAGAAACGCCTCGACAACTGAACAAAATTGGTTCGGTTAAAACCTTCCCTCACTGTCCAAACGAAAACAGACAGACAATTATGCATGGTCATATTTTCGTGTTGTG